GCTATGCCTCTCTTATTTTAATACACTTGAGAGTAAAAAGGTAATATTACTAATTAACCAAATGAAACTAGAAGATTACATCTTTAAAACTAAAATGTTATTTAAAATGGCTAACTAATTTGTAGATGGAAAAAGTATTTTGCAATTTGGACTAATAGGGGTTAGGCCCCCTAACATTGGGGCCCTCAATCCAATAATTCTTGTTTTACGGTCTAGTGCAGTCCATAATATTTAACAAGTTTCCCCTTGTATACTTATATGCTATATGCCTAGAATGTCAATGCATGCAAAAACTCTCTTTCCAGCAAAAGTTGTCTACCACTAGTATCTAGACATATTTTAAAGCAAAGTATAGCAAAAGTAATCACATTCAAACTTGTGATAGTCAACTAATGCTACTTGCAAAAGTTGTTCAAACTAATAGACTGACATGGTTGAAAAAGATTAAAATCAGAATTGTTTCAGAATTACATATAGATCAAAACCATCTAGGAAGCATTCCAATTAAGGTTTTCTTTCTTCTTTTACTTTTTTTTTTTTTTGGTCCATCGTTCTAATTAAGTTTAAAAAGCCAGATACATTTATTGCTATTTTCTACAGATCGCTAATAGCAGCCTACTTGTTCTTAATGGCTACAAAAATGTATTCCACTTAGAAGGAGGCCTATACACATGGCTCAAAGAAAGATTGCCAACAATTTTTTTTTTTGAAAAGCAAAAGTAATATTTATTGAAATGGACTGCCAACAATATCTGAAAAGTGATGTCAATGTACAGATGAAGCTTACAAAGAAGCTTAAGTTTTGTCTTCATTGAGAATGTTAATGTATTTTGTGACAAGACTAACTAATTTTGTTCCGTGAACCCACATATTTGGTTTGTTTCAATATTGAAGTTTGAATCTTTTGATCAACTAAGAAGACTAAATCTTACGAGTCCTATGAAAAACTATTTCGCTAAATATTTGTCATCTAGAACTTGAACGTGTGTGTAAACTGTAATAGTTTGAAGATATTGGTAACTTGTAGCAAGAACTCTAGCATCCAGTTCAAAGTAGATTACAAGAGTTAAATAATTGAAGCTAAGATAACATTACAGACTACTTGATGTTTATTATTTTTCTAGCAGCAGCCCTGCATTATCTTTGACATGGAACTTGAAATATTGTCAATGATTTTGTAGAAGCAGAAGTGCATGTAACTATCTAAATGTTAATTAAAGCATGAGGTAATAAACCTTCAATATTCAGGAGACACAAAAGGGCATCAAATATGGTAATAAGATCAGTGAAATTATAAAGTAACTCTTCAAGATGATAAATAGTCTCGGTGGCTGATTAAGAAAGTCAATAGTATTAAGCTCTCTAAAATTATGATGGATGTTCCTGCATTTATCATCTCTCTTATCAAAGTCCATTTCAAATCTTGCTAAAGGCACAATGCAATGCTCCCAATGCAGCATTTAACTTAGTTATCTACTTTATGCCTTCAACAAAGCTCTAACCATAGTAAAAGCACCCTTCGTAACTTTTATTTCCACCAATAAGTCCACTCATGTGGACAAAAAACACAACTAGGGATTCCTGCCTCCTCAGAGTGTTCTTCACCTCCAAACCCCTACAAGGAAGTGGTAGAGGTTCCCTGCTCTCAAACTTGTTAGTTGATATGGGCCTTGCATGGAGTCACCAATTTTCAATCCTCTCATCCTGCAAGGAAAAAAGATTTTAAACGAGTTTTAATAAATTCTTTTATTGAAAAACTTGGAAATCAAGAGATCCACCAATGATACTTAACATTTCTTCGATTACAATCCTAACCCAACAAGCAATCAATCAAATAATGAGAATCTGGTACCTTGTAAACAACATATTTGATAGGAGTAATATTCATTTCTTGCTCAAGAGCAAATATGTAGAGTTTTTTTTATGCTTCCAATACTCAATGTTTTACCAATGTCTACATATTTGCTACTTGCTTCGCAAAGTATACATGGATCTCTTACAAGGCAAGATCTAGTCAGCACCATAATTTCTCCACTGGGATCAATAACTTTCTTCCAGAAAAACATTCCATTACAATTGACCAAGTTGGTAACCAAGATTTTACATGAAAGTGAGTACTCTGTTACAAAGCAGCATCAACTTCATAAGCATGATCATGAACATCTACATTCTCTTTCATATAGCTTATCAGGATCCATCCAATCCAAATTTAATCTTCCTACTTTAAATGATAAGCTTTTGTTATTCACATATCTTGGAGGTCAGTCAGTGTGCTATTGATTAATTCCATCATCAATAAACAATAGCATCGACTGCAACATAATGTAAAAACACATGGAAAATGTTGAAATAAGAATTGGAACTGGGGCATATTACATAAAGGAGATCTAAAAACAAAATAAGGTAAATTTCAAGAATATGAAAGTCTTGGGGATTCTTTAGGTCACAAGTAAATGTAGAAAACAAGTTTGTGAGCCCCTACCTCCATGAACATTTAATATACTTCTAGAAACAACCTATTAACATTTGGGTGTCCTTCATCAAGCTAAAGTTCTTTTGTAATTAGCTCCACCCCATAATGTTAAAGAACAAAAATTGTCATACAAATGCAAATTGAGAATAGGATTGGTATCTTCATTTGCATCCAACATCTTCAAACATTCATTCTAACAAGCATTTTACATTTTAAAAAATCAACTATTATTTTAGTACTATTTATTTTTTGGATGGAAAATGTGGACCCTGCAACTCAAACACAACAATTACTAAGGGTTCACCCCCTAAATCATGTGTATGATATAAAATTTTGAGATTTCTAATTAAAAATTTAAATTGATTTAACAACTAAAAAAATTTAAATTATAAATTATAAATAATAATAATTATTAGTTATTAAATATCAATGATTAGCTATTCGTTACATTTGCATTGGTAGTTTATACATTACTTAAAAGTGATGATATATAAAGAAAAAGAAGTGATTATAATATTTGATATCCTTCGAAATATAAAATGTGTTGAATAAATGAGATGTTTGCTTGTTGTTGTTAATTTAAGTGAAATGAAAGAATAATTCAATCATACAATCATTGATAAAGGAACTTAGTAACACTTTTGGTACTAAATTAAAGATTAATACATTATAGAAAAAGATCAATATAATATAATTTAAAAAAATAATAAGCAAGTCTTGTAGCATTGATAGCAATAGGCCAAAAAAAAAAAAAGAATAAATATAATCAACACAATTAAGTGAAACATAGTTATGATTATTTGAATAATAAGCTAAAATGCAATAATTTAACTATAATAATATTTTTTTGGTTGTCAATTTAATTATAATAACAAATACAACTGTTGCTTAATGATAATATAAAATAAGTCAATTAAGTGAAATACAGTTATAATGACTAACTGAAATAACGAATTGAATAAAGATTTACTGAGAGAAAGAAAACAATCATTGTTTATTGATCCAAACTCATAAAAACGATAGATAAATACAACTAAATCAAACTAATTAGAATACTATTACTGCAAATTATTATTCATGCCTCTTATTTATTTATGGAAAATGATTAACAAATTATTTTTGTGTACATTTTTTCATATAACCTCACATGTCATTTAATAATTAACTCTTTTTATTCTACTTAAAACTCGTGATATTGTATATCTGTACTTATTTAATGATATGTAAAAATATAAAAAATTTATGAAAAGAATTATATGGATATTGTTACCCTTTATTTATCAAAATTGCAATAGAATATGAAAAAAAAATAGAAATTTTAATTATAAATGGCATACAATCATAGGTTACCAATTTTTGTAATTTTATTTTCAAAATAAACAAAATATTGAAGTTGGCCTAAAAAACAAGAAAAAAATGAAAATTAAATTACTAATATGAAATGGTGAAAACCTTTTATCATTATTTTTTGTTGGTCTTACAACAGGAAATCATAGGAAGAAAAACAAACAAAGAAAGATTAGATTATGTCGTTGAAATCTTTTTATAAGTCTAAAAAAGTTAATTTTTTTGAATTTATCATATGATAATACGAGAAGTGCATCCATAAAATAATCAAGAAGAAATCAGTATTGTGGTTGTGTAAACTAGTTAAGGACAATCCATCTATTTAAACAAAAAGAAAAAAAATGTGTTTTTAATAATGAAATCTTATTATCCTGAAGCAATTTTTATTTTGTTTTTAATTTGAATGACAATGTAATATTATAGATATATTTATTTGATATTATATGGATATTTTAAGATTCTATTGCCAAAAAAACAATATCACAAGAAATTATATATTTATAATTAATATTATTAAATTAATAAATATATATAATATCATATATATAATTTTTAAGTAAAAAATTAAAAAATTACAATAATATATTATAATTACAATTTTAAAAATATTAATATGAAAATATATAATATTATAAATATATCATTTCGAATTAAGGTAACCGAGGGGCAAGATGATAAAAAGAATTAAAAAATAATTTAAAAAAGGTAAAAGAACAAGAAAAAAATGGCCCAGAAGTAAAGATGGAAAAGGTGCTCATAGATTTGTCTTTCCATACAAATCAGATATTTAGAGAGAAAACCATAAAAAGGAAGAGGTTTAAGAGAGGAAAAGGGGAGGATGCAGTGAGTATCGATACAGGGTTACTCAGGGGACGGCTTCCCAGTGCCGAGTATCAGCAAACCGTGACACAATACTATTACCGCAGTTGTCCATTCTTACACCATGATTCAAACCCATCACTGGAAACTTCGCTCAGAAACCCACAAAGATTCCTAAACTCTATCCCATCCGTTCAACTTATAAACAACACCCTCTCTGTTGTCATTTTGCATAGAAGCTCAGATATGTTTGAGTTTTGGAGGCTCTGGCTGGTTTCAGAGAGTGTCTTTTTGCGCACGATGGCCTCTTCGGTTTCTTGTTCCCTTCAGTTCGTTTCACAACCAGCTGTACGGGGTATGAACTATAAATCCTTCTCTTTGCTCTTGTTATTATATCTACTTATGTGTGAGATTGTTGGGCTATTATGATCTTATACCTTTGTTTATGTGGTCATTGTGTTGATTCTTTGATGTTGTTGTGTGTCCCGAGATGGGTTTTCATTTCACCATCTAGGAATTTGGGGTTTGGATTTGTTTGGTTTAAGGCTCAATGACACTTCATTTTGTTAGGAATTTAGTTTTTTTTTTTTTAATTCATTTGATTTTTAATCTGATCTCTTTTACCCTCTATGCTCTGTTTGATTGGAGATTGGTTTCATGTTGTTTTCTTTTGTGATGTTTAATACGTATACCTTATGTTGTAGTGAAATGAAGTTCTTTGATGTGTCAAGAGATCGTTTTTATCAATAAACACAAATTTTTCCTTTAGTCTCTGAAATTCCATTATAAAAGAAAAGAAAATAATATGGGAATTGAGAGACCAGTTTCATAGCCATTGACTAACTGTATATATAAGGTCGATAAAGTATGTATAGCTTGAATGCATCCAGTACTTCTGGTCTCGATTTTCTATGAAGTCTTTTGGCTGAGAATCCCCAATTTTTTGTGGTTTACCCCTTGGGCTAGGTCTCCATGACTAATCATGGCAGAGGAGGGGTGAAGGTTTGGTCTTTGATCTTCATGTTAGTTGTCTTAATTAAATCTTGGGTGATTGCCTCCATATCAACTTTTTCACAAAGATCTACCTTTTTATGGTTTGGGTCAACGTCTCTGAAACAGATATCAAGAGGAGGTCTATCCTTGCTCTCTTTAAAATCTCTTGAAATGATCTTTTTTCCTCATCTATTTTCATATTTTATTCCATTTGATATGTGAGCCATGCTATAAGTTTTCCCCCAGATAAGTCCTTACATTTTTATAATCTAGGGATAGATCTGAGTAACTACAAGATGGATTTCAAGTTTTTGTTTGTCTCTTGCAATTTAAGACTGGAACTTTGAAATCATCAATGAGAATCATTCTACTTTTTTTTTTTTTGTGGGTTACCTTATATAGTACTACTTATGAAAGGATGCTTGTTTTGTATTTAGCTTGTTGTGTAATGGTATTTTCTTTTTTAATTTACAATGCCTATTAAGAAAAGCTACATTCTTTAGTGTTGAGGAGAAAATTGCATCTCCATTCTACTTCTTCCATTTTTCAAAACTCTTTCTTTGCTAAACCATGTGTTTTGTTAGATGTTAATACTTTCAACTTAGTGAATAGAGAATTGCAAATGCTACACAATAACTTTGGTCATGAATCAGCAGTCTTTCAGTGCAAATCCTTATGTGAATGAATGGGTTCATGTTTAGGGTTTGATCTTGAACTATAACAAGAAACTGCCACCTGTTGTAAAGCTATAAGACATTTTAGTTAGTTATGGTTTGTTATTCTTGATCTTGATGGGGGTTGCCATTATCTAGGCCAACATAGTTAATCCTTTTCATTTTTAAGGCATACATTACTAGATAAAAGGTCAAAGGTGTTCATTCTTTCATTTTCATTCTTTCTTCAATCTAGTTGTTTCACACACTTGTGACCATTTGACATATTCTCTGATCTAGTGGCATGATCTCTCTTTCTTACTTTTAACAATGGTTAACCATTTTCACAATATTCTCTTAAAATCATTGAGGGATGTGGTGGGTGGAGGATTGCTTGTTTTCTTTACGTCGTCTTTCTACATATTTTTTACTGGCCTTATTTTAAATACTTTTCTTTTTTTTGTTGCTGTGTATACTCTTATTTCTTATGATGACATTTCTCAGAGGCATATTCTGAGATCAATGTGTCCGCATACCATTAATTACATCTTTTTGCTATGGCCAGTTAATGCTTTCTTCCTATCTTTGTTACTTGACAACAATCTTGTTTGTAGACCCATCACACATTCAATATTTCACATACATCTCCCACACTGTGTTTGCTTTTGACACTAGTGACAGTCCCATGACTTGTTTTTAAATTATGTCATACATGAAGGAATTATATGATCACATACAGCTTTAGGCTAAATATAGGTATGGAGAATATTGAGGTAAATGACTAAGTATCTGGGCTCAAGTAAAGAGGTTAGGTTGGCTTCTTTCTTTCTTTCTTTCTTCTTCTTTTTGGGAACAGCAACAAATTAGTAAAGAGGTTAGTTGGGATTGAAGTTGGATATGCTTACATCTTTAAGTAGAAGAAGATAGTGGATAGCATATAAAAAATTTAAAATAGAGGGAAGAAAAAAATATTAATGGACTTGGATATGCATCTTTGGTGTTATAAATCTTCATCAATCAAAAAGACACTTGCTGTTGCATTTATTTGTAAATACATCTTGCATACTGCTATCAAGCTCAGATCAGTTTACTTTGCTTGTACTAATACAGTTTGTTTGTTTCAGGTTATTTATTTGCAATGCAAGTTAACTCGCATGCTAACAAGCAACCATTTTGTGCAGCCAAGCAACCAACCAGCACTGTATTCCCCCTTTGATTGCCTTCCCAATTCAAGCTCTGTATTTCCCCTTGATCGCTTTCCCAATACAAGCTCAGCAGCAGTACCTTTTAATGCAGCACCAGTAACCTATTCTTAATTTTTTGGCAAAATGAAAAATTCTTGAAATATGATGAATCCTTCCCAGTGCAGTGCCTGACTTCTGAATTTGAACGGTGGAATTTGGTGCAAACAAACTTGAACCTGGCCTTTCATGTGGCTGCCAACCTTTCTGGAAATGGCTCAGGGTCAGGTGTGTTTGCACCTTCATCAAGGTTTCCCCAAACCAAATTTGGAAGAGTAATATGCACAAAGGTCAGGAATCATGAATCGCTGGCAGAGCAGTTACTACCCATTTTGTGGTTGTCCTGCTGCTGTCCATGAATTGAGGTTTAGTCAGAGGTTGGTATACCCTGGGAAAGGAAAAGGGAAAGGGGCATCTCAAAGGGGATAGAACTCTGGTCTTCTGGGTGGATGTGGATCACTTAATGGGTGACCACTCGGGCTAGTGTCTAGAGAGCACGACATTTTATAGGAGAATAATTTTACCTTTTATGAGCAGTCTTCCTTGTGTGTCTAGAGCGTATTCCAAGCATATTCGAATATTCGCTTAGTCGGTGATATTACCAAATATTCTATTTTCAAATAATTTAACAACATAATTGTATGTATATTTTCTGTCATGGTTATCAAGTATGCGAAGTTGAAGCATTTGTGGCTTTGAGCAAGGATTGACATTTTCCCTGACTTGCATTGTGTTGGTGTCTTCACTATATAATTTCTGCACCATGTCATCAAAGTGATTGTTGGCCAATATTTACTTACAGGTAATGCTTCAAAGCAACTTTTGTTTCTCAAACCTTGTGATGCGCCAGCACTAGCACCACCATAGAAGAAATAAAGGCTGTGTAAGACAATAATGTCTTTATACATTCTGGCATTTGTGATACAACGTGCTGATTTGTGATAATTAATGTGAAAGATCAGCTTGATTATGAATAGGTATTTTTGGACAATTAGATTCCATAGGCAATGACTTGTCCTGGAAGTTGCCATTAGTTTTCCTTACACTGCTACAAGGACTTTAAATCTAATGTTTAAGTAATCTTAGATGAGCTCAAAGACATTTTCTGACCTTTAAACTTAAGTTTTGGCTTCCATTTAGTATATTTTGCCCATCCTTTATGGATGTGCAGTCAACCAAGTATATTTTAATTGCAAATGTGAAATTTTGTTTTGCGGAATTCTAGCTGCCTATAAAAATACACATTACTACTACCTTTCCCCACTTTCCATTTTACTAAATTATCATGGTAGTCTCTAAAACCATCCCTCTATTTTTGCCATATGGTAGTTAAGACCTAGAGAACACAACATTTTATGAGAGAAATTCTATTTTTTCTGATTAGTCATCCTTGTATGCCTTGGAGCATATCTAGAACATATCTCAAGTATATTTGAATATTCAATTAGTCAGTGATATTACCAAATAAACTAATTTCAGATTATTTTACAACATAATTGTATATATATTTTTTTGGCATAGTTACCAAGTATGACAAGTTGAACCCTTTGTCCAAGGTTTGACATTTTCCCTGACCTGCATTGTGTTTGTGTCTAATTGAGGGATGGACTAATTCATCCTCCTGAAGGTTAGAGAAATTGTTTTTACCATAATTGAGGGAGGGTCTAAGCTGGATTAATTCATGTGTGTGTAATCAAGTTCCAATATTTCTAAAATTAGGTGGTCATTTTCACAGTAATGAATGCTATATAAATTTATGGCTGCAAGCTGACTGACACACTAGATGGGTAAGCAGATGTATTTAGAAACAAAATTTGGTAATATCTACACTAGATAATAAACTCTAAACTCAAACCAACTAGAGGCAAAATTATAGACTTAGAAGAATCAAGCAGTCCAACATAGATTGCCAAACCGTGAAATAACCTTCAGTTCAGCCCCTTCCCCACCCTGTGGTACGCCCACTGCACCACGTCCCTCATGCCTTCACCTCTTCTTCAACACAGCAGCCTCCTCTTCTAGCTCCTACCTAGTCCTATCGTCATTTGCTACCCACACTCCCTCACATTCAGCCTGAGTGTAGTTATGGTCGTACAGTCAAATATTAAAGCCACACTGATTTAATTTAATTTAATTATTAAAAATAACTGATAATTAGTAAAAATAACTTATATTTATTACTTAGTAAATTGACAACAATTTTATAAGTTAATATTTTTAGATATTTTAACTACATGTTTTAAAAAAATTACAAATAAATAGAATATTAGTCAAATTAAACATCATATGTAACTTTAATATATAGGTGTGTGGCCATAACCACATGCATTCAGCCTGCTCCATTTGGCAGTCTTCCCCTTTGCTCACTTCCAGGTATCTCTCCGCCTGATCTCCACTGTTTCCCCCTCCTGGCCGCTCCACCACCGTAAATTCGGAACTTCAACTAAGTTCTAGTTTATTTCGACAACCCTCGTCGCTTCCCCTCGATATTAACAAACCTCAAAAGACTATGAATCACCTTCTCCCTTGGCCCAATGTCTTAATTTAATTGAATGAAAATTCTTTCCCTCGCTTCTCCTCCCCTCAATTTTCCCCAAAATAAACATGCTACTAAGAACAAATGATAACCTTCTCATTCCTTCCAAAGGAATTTAAATCTCCCATTTCTCAAATCTCTCCTCACTCATGCTCAAACTCTTAATCATTGGAACATCCCCTTATAAGCATATCAAAGGGAATTATTGCAAAAACAATAAGGTAAATTATCAAATTACAGAGTTCAAGAACAATAGAACTTAGCGGGGATCATCTAGAACAACACATGGAATCAATATTGATGTAACTGAAGTCACGATGTCTAACACAAATGAATCTGTTCAAGAACCTATCAAAATGGCTAATGAATCCCCAGAACACTACATAACCATGTACATAAATTTAACAATTTTGAGACACTACCGAGTGTTGACAATCAAGCAAAAGTATAGGGAGCCACCTCAGCCCTTTCTAAGAAATAGGAATATAGTTGCTCATAAGCTCTAGTGTTTTTAATCTAAACTTCAAGCCTTTACAAGAGTTGATAAGGCAGTTGATCTCCCATTCTCTTTTCAACAGATGCAACGCCACTTTGATTATTACACTTAATTCATGAATTTTCCTGCAGCCTGTAAATTGTAATTTCCTGCTGTTTGAAATACCGGCGGTCCTCTTCATCAACTAGAACAAGATTCAAGTAGTACTTCACACTGAATTTGTTGTTAATGTTGCGATGTGTTGGTGTGAGTTCGTAGGGGCTAAGAAATAGCCTGATTGGTATTGATTCCCCTGCAATATGTGATCAGAAGCCATTATATTAAATGAAAGGGATGCACACGCCCACGCACAGCATAGACATATGGTGGTATTACGTATCTGCCGTGTTTCTTGTGGAATTCCTTAAAAGATGCAAGAGACCTGAAGTTACATAAACATACCTCTCACTGGCGCACCATCCATCAACTCAAATTTGGCCAGTGTTTCTGTCTCGACATGAGTATTGGCACCTGATCCTGTTGACTCCCTGCGCCTAATCTCAAGGTCCATATTTTTAATCTTGATCCTTACAAGAAGGAAATATATTTTGCCAATAATAACATCTTTCAGATGATACCTGTACAATTCAGGTTCCAGTAAGCAATGGCTTTGATGTTAACCCCCAAACTACATGCTAGAAAAATGCTGGCATAGTTGCGTATCAAGAAAACTTAGCTCTAGGGCATCAATCGTCTCAGTCCTTAACTAAACTACACAGATAGAACCCCAAAAATTATATCGGGATTCAGAACCCCAACCATTATATTGGGATTCAGGATCACGGTTAGGCATGATCCATTACTATTAGCAGCAATACCATCATAAAGAATAGTAACACTGAAATTGGAATAGCAATGAAGCATTGAAATGCCTAGCAGCTCAATATATTCAACTTACTTGCTTTTATTGTACTCAAACTCAATATGCAGACAGTCTTCGATTCCAACTTCCATCTAAAGATGACATAAATATAATACTAAGATTAGATATCAACAAGAAGACAAGGTGGTATGCAGCACATCAGATAAACAGCATGACCTAAGCAATAGCTATAAATAAATATTTGCAGAAAAAATCAGCTGGGATAGAAACAAAACTAAACTGCTCACCTTGATACTGTTGTTTATTGATGGAGGAGGAGAATAGTTGCGGACCTGATAAGTAGAAAGTGACATCAAGAGGATGGAAATAATTACTTGATCATACCACATCACTGTCATCAAATAAATATCACTTAAGATGCACTCAATGCTTTTCTCCAATAATAAGTATACTTAAATTGTAGGTAACTTTTCTAACATACATTGCTAAGGATAGTGAAACAAATTATTTTGAGATGCTCCATCTTCCAGAAGTATCAAATGCTGAAGGAATTGAAAATTTGAACAAATAACTTTGGCAACAGTGAAACAGAGAAATTTTCCTCTTTGGAATGAACTAGAGATGAAATTTATGCTTTGTTAGCTCACAACAAACCAGTTATACAGCCAGAAATTCTCATTAGTCATCAATGTTGACCTGTCTTTATGCACACAGGTGTAAGGTTGGATTGTATACTTAACGAAGCAGGAAAGCGCAGCAGAAAAATAAAAGGGATCAAGAGGGGGTGGGGAATGATTACCACAAAGTCCTGGTATTCCACTATGCTTCCACCATATCCACGACTAATAGTCACTTTCAAGACATACCTGAAAAAGGCAACAATATACTTATAGCTGGCAAGAGTAAAATAGTTTAACATTCCAGAATGCAACAATTAAAATATGCTACCATGTAAACAATAATTTCTATATTTCATTAATGCAGCTCTATACTTTCAGCTTCTCCTAGTCCACTACAATTACATTAATAAAAAAAATTAAACTTTCAGTTCAAGGTGCTGCAAAGAGAAAGATAACAGGGTTCAGTGGAGAGTGACACCCTTGAACAAATGCCAGCACTACCAGAGCATAATACATGCATGAAAAGTACCTAACCATTTCTATGTTCTAAAACTTTATTCAAATTGACTTATAACCCACAACAATATTACAATATACAGGAACCCGATTATTGGAGTTTAATGATTATACAGTTAAGAAACAGTATACCTGAGGCGCACATTCACTCCATTATATGTTTCATATGGCATTTCAACAGTAGAAAATTCAAATGGATACGTTTTTCTTTCATACATTTCACCAGGAACATCCAATTCACGCACTGCAAACATTAATGAAATGATGACCAATAAAAACCAATTCAGAATATCAGCCAGGTTTAATGAAGAAACACCCCACTATTTGATGCTCTAAACAGGTGAAAGAGCAATAAGAATAATCATAAAATAAAAAGTGAAATAAAATGAGATTTGTACCATTTATTATTAAAGAAATAATTGTAGCAGCTTCTTGTAACATACAAAGATGGCAACAAGGTAAAAAAATTGAAATTAAAGCCAGAGTATACTCACCGAGTGAAGTAAAGTCATAAAAGTTTCCTCTGTCAAAATACATCTCTGAAAAGCAAAACAACTTTAACATGAATATCATTTCACTCAGTAAGAAAGGACAACAGTCTTAGACATCCATTTTATATTCTATTTGGCCACTAGACCAGAATGCAAATTGAAGAATTAACTAGATCTGTCAATTACAACCAAGAACATAAGTAGAGACACAAAAGCAATCAAGCAGAGCTGAGCTACCATACACAAGTAAAATAAGGAATTGGATAAGACTTGGCATCTCAGAGCACAATGGAATTACAACCCAACAAAATGAATTAACTTCAACTTGACACAATAACAATGAATTTAATTGGTGTGCATTTCTCAGATCCAAACAATATTCACTTTTTCAGGGCAAAAACATATCTTCCCATCTGCACTACGTCCTCAAAATAGTGACTAATATTTACTAAAAGACAGATACCCACATACATTATGGTGAGCAAAAATCCTCCATTCCACAAGACATGTAGCACAAGGAAGTTGCAGAAGTAATACCTATTTGACCAAGGAGCTCAACTTTCACACCATTGTGTTCAATTTTCTTGCCTTGAACTGGTTCTATAGAGATCTATAGATGAAACACAAAAGAAAAACTCCCAAACCATAAACATTCTGAACAATCAGGAGAACTCAAGTTTTAGAAGAAAAAAAAGGAAGGCAGAAACACCTTGCCAGCAATATTTTCTTGGCTCTGGAAAAGAGGCACCAGAACTGTTTGCCCACTTTCCTTTTTCAATGGGACCTAAGAACATGACAACAAACCAGCATAGTGACCAAGAGAACTTAATTCCACAACCCACTAGGGAATGGAAGCAAAATAATCTACAACAAGAAGAAAATATGAGAAAATTAAACAAAACACATCCAACCAACTATAAAAACGGTCACCAGCCTTGAAAGTTCTTAGTTACAAATAAAACACAACAGAGTAAATTCGCTTATGAGGTGCTGAGCAATTTCACACAATTCAATAAAAAACTAGAAAACATCCTTCTTTCTTTAATTTTCAAGTCCACAAAACAAGAAAAACCTATGTTAGTATATATTATAAATCCAAAAAAAAAGAGAAAAAAAGAAAAAGGATTTGATCATCAGGGTACCTGCTTGCGGGTTTTGCCATCAGCAAAGGAGATTGATATAATACATGCAGGCTTAAAAGCTCCAAGTAGGAAATTCTGAGGGAAAATTAACCCAATTTGTTTTAGTGAATCAAATTTCAAAGTTCAACAAAAGATAAACCCAGAGAAAAACCCTAGCCACTGTACAACAATAACCATCGATACAAGTCCTTACCATGTTCTTATGCTTCAAACCCAATTATAAATCCCTGCATTAAACAGGTTGAAAATGTCAACTTTCAAGTCCAAAATCTAGCGCAGATCACAGAAGCTACGCATACACATTCTGCATTGATAAAATAATAAAACCAATATGCAGATATCGTACAAATTATTATGCAAGTTCCCAAATAGATGAATAGACTCACTAAAACTTCATTGAATCTCAACAGATTAGCGTCTTCATTGAATCTCAACATATTAGCGTCATAAGCTTATAAAATCACAAATTCGCAGGGAAATAATGCAAGATAGGGATTGATCAGAGGGGAAAATGATGGGAGATCACGTCGGAATTGAGAAAACGAAATCTATGTATGCGGAAATCGGGAAATTGAAAACTGAGAACAGTGATCCCGGAATCGGTACCTTGCCGGAGAATTGAAACTGACGAAAACCCTTGACCGCCTGAGAATGGAGATTTGGGAATGGCAACAAGACTGGCGCTCAGCTCGTGCATTTCACGCGAATTCAGTTTGTTTGAGTGTTGAATTCTGGCGAAAATAGAGAAAAAGTTAATTGCAAAAAACGGTCCCTAAACTTTGGAAAGTCACCTGACTTGATCCTCAAACTTCCAATGACCTTGAATTGATCCTCAGTTTGTATATTCGTAAATTTGGTACGAGGGAAAACGAGGTGAGGAAAATTTTTTGACGGATCAAATTAAAATTTTAACTTAACAAAAATGTGTTTTAGATTAATTGCGTATTAAAAATACAATTTATCTTATAAATTTATTTATATATCTCTAATAAAATTATATTTTATATTATTTAATTAAAAATATTTAAGTAAATTTATGAAGTGAACTGTAATTTTAGTATATAATTCATCCTAAAAAACTCGAATCTCTTAACCTCATGTCTTAATTTACTAGAAATGGAGATTTAAAAATAAAAAAGATGGTCTGAGTGTGAAAATTTATGGATTAATGTAGAGGTAGAGGGTACAATAGGACGGCTAGTCAGTACAAGGCTACAAGCTTTCCATCATTCTCCTCTTGCTTTTACAGCGTATTGGAACAGTCTTGTTGTCAAGATATCTTCTTCTTTGTTCTTAAGGTTGTTTTGATTCATGAAAGTATATTTCTAGTATGTAAAATAATAAAAAAAAAAACCACGATAAACTTAGATTGCAGAATCTAGCTTGCAGAATCCAGGTCTGTTTCGACATGTATTGAGAGACTAATTCTGGGTTCTCCTCACAGTCGAAGGACCCGAAGGCGCCAGTAGAGAACCCAGAGGTTTGTTACGACCTATAAAGCCAAACCAAAAGTCCAGTCAGCTCTAAAATCACAAAGTTGCAACCTGTTGCAGATCATATGAACAAAGATAGTCCGAAAATAATAAGAAATGATAAAACCATCACATTTCAGATGACTCCAAAATGTTGATTAAAGAATATTGCCAGTAAAGAATATTCACTAATTATATTACCAGGCTTAATTGTAATTGTTACATCCCTAGAAAAAGAAAAGATATTCTCAGATGACTCAAAAATGTTGAATCTAATCCTGCCAACCATAACAATCCTATTAGTATGCCATTCAATGTCATGGTAGATGCCGATGAGGAAAAAAGAAACAAGAAACAAAAAAATTTCTCTGGGCATAATCTTACAAAACCATGGGGGCTAAGAATTTCCAGGGTCCTGGGAATCTGATTGAAGGTTAACAATTTGGGAAACAACAAGCCTAGAGAGTTCATTAATTGTAGCTTGAACCTGGTAATCATCTGGATCCCTCCTTGACCACCTAGATAACTGTGAACTTAACCTACCATACTCGTTTGCAGCAACCCCAGCCTTTGTTGATGTAGCAAGTACTCTCTCCAAATCAAACTGTGATAACAGCCTTGGTTCCTGAGAAAGGGTGGGCCACAAAGAAACTCAATAAAATGAAAGATTCCACAAAATACATCTAAAACATATTAATTCATATAAAAAAATAATAATCAAACATCATACTGAGTTTTTTCTGATAAAGAATGTCAACTGGTCCAACATTTTGAAACAGGGGTTAACTATAGTCTCAAGGAAACCAATGGTTCAGCATCAGAAAATTGTTAAGTTGGGAAGCAGTTATGCCAGTATAACAATATTTTAAAGAGGAAATGAGGGAGAGTGGAAGGAGAAGACCACCTAACACTGAAAAAACAGAAGTACTATCCACCTCAACCAAAAGAATTTGTCAACATAAGTTCACAGGTTTAAGATAATCATTAAGATCTCCTGGGGTTAGGCTTAACCATTTAACAAAACTTGAGAAAGCAAGCACAAGGTCAAAGAAAAAGATAATAAATATACTTTTATGCTTAACCTCTCAGCAACACTTGAGAAAACAAGCACAAAGTCAAAGCAAAAGACAATATATGTATGTGTGTGTATACATACACTGGATTTTTTTCCTTTCTTCTCCTCGTCTAGTAGATCCCTAATGGGAAAATATGCTGCTTTCTTGCAGAGCTCCATGAGATCTGAACCAGTGTACCCTTCACACAAACTTGCTATATGGTCATAGTCAATATTTTCTTCAACCCTCTCACCCTTCAATATCACCTTCAGAATCTCAACCCTCTCTCTTTGATCAGGTATCCCAATCTCAAAGGCCTGTGGAAGACGCCTAAGTATAGCTTCATCTAGTTCTGATGGACGATTTGTTGCAGCAAGAACCATTACCCTTGCATTTTCTATAAAATGATACATGAACATATTTCATATTAAGGCCCTTTACCACATGGAAAAGGAGAAGAACAAGAACAAAATAGCCACTTTCAGAAAATGAAAGTGCAGCCCTTAGAGTAGAAAGGACTCACGATCTGTGGTAAATCCATCCCATAGAGACATGAATTCAGTCTTCATGTTTGCTAATGCTTCATGATCTGTACCACGACGCTGTCCCAAAAAACTGTCAACCTCATCAATAAATATAATAGCTGGCTGGAGTTTATAGGCCAAGCTAAAAACAGCAGCAACTACAAAATAAAAATAGAAAAAATCAAACAAAAGCTGTGAGTCAAGCAGTAAAATACAAGTTTCGTTAGCAAGAAATGAAATCATGCATCAGAATCAACACATCCATAAACTACTTGCTCAATTCTTCCACATCCATACACAGAGAACTTACATTTTTTAAACTAAAATGAAAAATTGGTATTGAACCCATGCATACAAGTGACCAATCACATTTTAACTAAACTAAGTTCAAACGACAAGCTATATAAATAAGCATCTACACATTTTATATCAGAAGAAGACCACTTTTACCTTAGATAGAAAACCAACTCAAAAGCTTCTTATTAATACCATATGAAAGAAATCTTAGCACGTTCAACACAGTTAAACTAATTAGTTGGGACATAGAGACACATGTAATCACATAAATTTTATCAGGTCAAGAAAAATTCTCAAACTCAATAGGGATGGAGCAAACAATATCAAAACTTACCAAGTTTTTGTGCATCACCAAACCACTTGCTCATCAAATTTGATATCCTCACATTGATAAAGACAGCACCGGACTCCTTCGCAATAGCTTTGGCGAGCATGGTCTTTCCGGTCCCAGGGGGACCATATAACAAAACCCCTTTTTGAGGACTGAGAAGCTTTCCACGCGAAAACAACTCGGGTCTCCGCAATGGAAGAATCACAAGTTCATACAGAGCTTGTTTGATGGCTTCCAGTCCTCCAATAGAATCAAATTTCACATCAATATGGTCAGGATTTATAACATCACACGCTATTACATCCTGTTAAACATGTAAGAAACAAAAGTCATACGCTGCAACGAGAAACCTTAAGAAATGAACACTGCAAACTTCTTTCTTCACACATTACATACAGTCCCAATTTGAATCGCAAAATCACGTCTTTTTATTAAATTTCCATCATCAAACTGATTCAAACCCAAAATTAGAAAAAAAAAAAAAAACCTCGTAGGGGGTGGTGTTTATGAGAGGGCGACCCAAGCGCTTGGCTATCTCCTTCTTGTGCTGGAGCGCTTTCTTGGATGCTTCTCGGTTCGGGTCTAGGTGTCGGAGGCCGGCGAAAAGCACCAAGCAACTCAGAGCGGCGCTGGCCGCGTATAGTATCAGTTGTTGGAGGAATTTCTCCGACGAACCCTCCATCTGTTGCACGTTTAAATTGCTTCGCAAGTAAGCAAAATTACAGACAATATTAAGAGATAATTAGGGTTAATTAGAGGAAAATATATAGAACGGAAGAGATAACGGTGGCTATTGGATGTCGCCGGAGTTCTTGGAGAAGAAGGAAGGACTCTGGAGAGACTACGGGAAGGAATAAAAGACTTCTACCGTTTCTGCGAATTTCTTTTTCGATTTCTTTATGTTGGGTTATTGAATTACAAATGTACCCTTAAAAAGGACTCCTTAAAAATTTTTCTTTCCTCTGTTGGGGGGTTTTCTGGTAAATTAGTTTGTCCATCATTCTTTTATTTTTAGGTGAAAAGAGGAGCTCTTCCTTAACTTTTTGGGAAAGTATAATGATCCTGGGCTTAGGCCTTTCTTAAATGGGCCTCAGCCCGATATTGGACCTAACAGCTGTTTAGGCCTTTATCTTTCTATCCTCATGATGTTTATTGTAGTGAGTTTGGTCATACGGAGGACATCTGTCATTTTACGAATCTAGGTAAACATATTTCTGTGAGTAATCCCAATACCCAAGCCATGATTGAACTCACGTAAGCTTTGCAGCCAGACCTGGCAGAGAACCACATGGTTTTTGGCTCATGGATGGTCCAACAACGTAAGTCGCAACGGAAGAGTTCGGTGTCCCAACCTGCAACTAATTCCCATCATGCACAATCTCCTACATTTTTGGTACCCCTACCTCTCACCTGAGAATATCGGCAAAATCTATGGTAGTGGAAAAGCACGTTGAGAGTAACGTGCCGCAAACCATGTGACATAATCGGTTTGAGGTGATTGCGGAAGTGATGGAAGAGGAAACTGATCTTCTAGGTTCCACAAAAGGGAAGGATATGGTTTTGGCAAGTGATTCTGCACTGTCAAATGATGATGTTATGCCTATGGATTCTACTATGTCTCCAGGCTCGAGTGCACCTCCGCCAGCCTAAACCTGTGTTATCTCAAACCAACCCATTGAGCCTACGCCCATTCCTTCTCCACCTGAGTCCACTTTATTTGTCAAACCCAAATCCAAGTCTTCTAAGAAGAAGAATACGATTCTTGGCCCCATGAATAAAAAGCCTAAAGACAGTGCATAGAAGCATTATAACTTGCCCCTTGCTCCCAAGAAGCAAAGCAATCCGCTGCAGATGCTGCCTTCAATCCAAACTGTTTCATTAGCGCCTCCTCTGGTGCTTGCACCGTCAATGCCTCACACAATGAGTCCACCACAAGCTTTGGCATCAACTTTATCCACTTCCTCTTCACCGCCCATTGTCCTTAGCACCGTTTCTGATTCAATGCCACTCTAGTCTGGCCATTTGGTTTCTTCGGTTGTAATTTCTAGTACAACCATTTTATCTTCTCCATCTTCTCAATGAAGATTGTGACTTGGAACAGTAGAGGTGTTAACCATTCCCCTTTTAAACGAGAGTGTCGTGAGTTAGTTAAAATGTATCACCCTGATGTTATTTGTTTTCTTGAAACAAAAGTGGATTCGGCTACTGATGCCTTAAAGTTTCTGCAGCATTTTGGTTTTGATAAAAACCATCAAATCCCATCTTAGGGAATGGCTAAGGGACTCTGGTTATTTTGGCGTTCTTTTTCTGTGACTTTGGACATTTTGTGTAGCTCTTCCCAGTTTATTGATTGCTTTTTATCCCAGCAACAAGTCAGCTGTTGAGTCACTTTTGTTTATGTTTAGTCGCATGTTGCTAAGAAGGATCTGTTATGGACTGAGTTAGAAGGTCTTACAAGGGGTATGTTTAACAGTTGGGTGGTGATAGGACATTTCAATGATATAATTTTTGTTGATGAAGCTTCACCTGTAGCGACTAGGGGCTTTGCACGTGCACAACGCTTCAGAGATAAAGTAACACAATGTGCTCTACACTCAACTGAATCACTAGGGTGCACATTCACTTGGTTACATAAGCAAAATGGGAGGGTGCTTTTAAGAGAGCGTCTTAATAGAGCTCTTTTTAACTTTATGGCTCTTGAATCCTTTCCAGCTGCCAAAGTGATCAATTTGCCTCGTCTTTGCAGTGACCATCATCCTATTTTGCTTTGCCTTGATGACTCATACCTGATAGGCAACCAATTGAAACCTTTCCGTTTTGAGGCTGCTTGGTTGACTCATGAAGCTTTTAAGTTTGTTTTTACCCAAGCATGGTTATTACATGCCTCTTCCTTACCAAATGCCATTAAGTCAGTCCAAGAGGCATGTTCTTAATGGAACAGAGAGGTATTTGGTAATTTATTTTGTCGTAAGAGACAGTTGAAGGGTAGATTAGAAGGTATTCAAAATTTTGTGCATTACGCCAATTCTAGCTATTTGCAGCATTTGGAAGCAAAATTGTTGCAGGAATACCATCAGGTGTTACATGCTGAAGAATGATTTCGTGTCAAAAATCACGCATAGAGTGGATAGCCTTTGGTGATAGGAATATGAGTTTTTATCATGCTTTAACCATAGTTCGACGACATAGGAATTTTTGCTTTGAAGGTTGTTGATGAATGGGTGATAGAGCCACAACGTTTAAAACAACACATAAGGGACTTTTTTGTGGAGCTGTTTGCACGGAAAGACACTTCTTCATGTCTTAGAGACTACTCTGAATTCCAACCTTATCTTTTTGTAGAGAATGGTGCTTTACTTTTGACGCCAGTTTCTCTTGAGGAAGTTCGAGTGGCTTTGTTTTCCATAAAGGGATTTAAAAGTCCAGGGCCGGATGGTATCCAACCTATTTTTTATCAGAGACATTGGGAGGAGGTTTCAGGTACTTTACACTCCTTTGTAAATAATGCTTTCAGAGATGGCTACTTTGATCATTCCTCGTTACATGCGCATATCACACTCATTCCTAAAGGAGAAAACCTAGACATCATTCAAAAGTTTCGTCCCATTTGTTTGCTTAATGTTGCCTATAAAGTGCTTTCCAAGGTCATTGTTAATCAGCTAAAACCCTTTCTTCAATAGCTAGTAAGACCTTTTTAGAATAGCTTTCTAGCAGGACGAAGTACTATCGATAATATTATTCTTACATAGGAAGCTGTGCATTCCATGCGTAGGAAGAGGAAGGAAAAGTGACTTAATCTTTAAGATAGACCTTCATAAAGCCTTTGATAGTGTTGATTGGCATTTTCTACCTTCAGTCGTGGCTGATTTCAACATTCCATCTCATTTAATTAGATTAATCATGTTTTCTATGTCGTCTTTGCACCTTTCAGTTCTTCGGAATAGGGAAGAGTTACCTTATTCCCAACCGCAATGGGGTTTACATCAAAGGGACCCTCTTTCTCTTTATTTGTTTATTATGGTAATGGAAAGGTTGTCTCATATAATTTAGAGTAGAGTGCAGGCATTTTCAAATTTCTTGAGGAAGATTAGCTCTGTCTCACTTATTTTTTGCAAATGACCTTATGCTCTTTTGTGATGCCTCTCAATCTCAAGTGGAGATTGTCATGGATTGCCTTAATGAATTTTCAAGAGAATCTGGGTTGGAAATTAATTTGTCCAAGTCTAAATTGTATGCTTCACCAAACATTCAGAGTCATGTTGCTAGAAGTTGGAGTGAAGTTTGTGGTATGCCCTTGACTAAGAATCTAGGTACCTATCTAGTGGTCCCAATTCTTCATGATAGACCAAGAGCTTCTACTTATAAGCACTTGCTTGAGAAAATTTAGATGAAGCTGATGGGTTGAAAAAAAAACTTATTAAGTTTGGCTAGGAGAAGAATCTTGATTAAGTCAGTTACTTCTGCCATTCCAATTTATATAATTCTTTCTATTCTGTTACCAAATAGTGTATGTGCAAATATTGATCACATGAATAAGAGGTTTCTTTGGGGTTTTGATATTTCTCGTCAACCCCATTTGGTAAATTGGAACACTATTTGCCTGCCTCGTGTTATGGGGGATTGGGTCTTTGATTAGCGGCAAAGCATAATCAAGCTTTAATTGCAAAGCTGGGATGGCAATTGCTTTTTGACTTGGATAAGCCTTGGTGTAAAGCTTTGCTGCAGAAGTATGTGCAGAACGCGTCCGTGCTATATTGCACTCCTCCTTCATCTGCTTCAGCCACTTGGAAGAGCATATTACGATGTCAAGCTATCCTACAACAAGGCTTGCGGTGGAGTGTGGGTTTTGGGCAGAGAATTAAACTTTGGCAGGATGTTTGGGTGGATGATAGGCCCTTATTGGAAGATGCCCTCACAAAGGTTATGCCTGCGTAATTAAATACCCCTGTTTCTCATGTAATTACCTAGGAAAATACTTGGAATACTTCTCTTTTAAGATAGCTTCTCCCTAAATTTGTTGTTGAGAAAGTTTTAGCTACTCCGATTCTAGCTTTAAGTGGAAAAGAAGACAAAGTGTTCTAGAAAGATTCATCGACTGGCACCTATTTTGTTAAATTTGCATTTTTTTGTTACAACAGTGGAAAGTCAACATTACTCAACAAGCGAGGCATTGGAGATGGATTTGAAAACTACAGTGTTTAGAGTGGATCAAATTCTTTGTTTGGCTTCTTTGTAAACGCAGCTTACTCACTAACTCTGTTCGTTTTGAAAGACATTTCGCACCAACCCCAGTGTGCCCTAGATGTGAGCAAGGTGTTGAGACTCCTTTACATCTCTTACGAGATTACTACTATTCTCGGGTAATCTGGGATGCCTCGTATGACTTGCCTGAACATTTCTATATGTTGGATCTAAATGCTTGGCTTAAGAACAATATAGAGAGTTCATTAGCATATGAAGTTCCATTTCCTTCTTAGAACACTTATTTCTTGTCTACTATCTAGACAATTTGGAAGAGTAGAAAGCTTATTTTTTATGGCAGGAATATTTCTCCACATACTCTGCAACAGCAAGCTTACCATTTCGGTATGGATACTTGTATGGTGTTAGCTTCAAATGTCTTTGTTCCTAGCCATCGAGTTTCTAGATGGGTTAGATGGTATCCGCTGGACTCTCCCTTTCTTAAGTTAAACATTGATGGGGTTATGAATCGTGCTACTGGAAGAGCTACTGCTGGTAGCCTTATTCGAGATCATGAAGGACGTTGGATACATGGGTTTGCTTTAAACATTGGTCCTTAGTCAAGCTATATGGCAGAGCTTTTGGGTTGTCATGTAGGCTTAAGTTTAGCTTTTGTGCCGAGTGTTTCACATCTCACTCTGGAAATGGATTCTCTTGTGGCTATTCAGATGATTTAGGCAAAAAGAATAGGGGAAGGTCCCGCTTCTGTGCTCTTGTCTGACATTTTTCACTTAATTAGTAAGTTTACTAAATGTAAGGTGCAGCACATGTAATTCGGCGGTTGACTTCATGGCTGCTACGGGTCATTCTTTGCCACAGGGTACTAGTTTTTTTTAGTCTCCCCCAATGGGTATTAGAAGCATTCTTCAAGGAGATGATTTAGGAATGCCATTCCTTAGGACTTAGTTTGTCTTGACTTCTTATGTACCAAAAAAAAAAAATAATAATACAACTTGAATTTATGATATTTTATTTTATTTTAAATGTAAAGTACAATTTATTTTTTAAGGAGAGTAGAATACAAAATAAAGAAAGAAAATCCAAAACTTATGCCTAAAGTATATAAGAGAATATAGAGGGATATAATATATATAATATATCAAGAATTTATTGATCTAAATAGAAGAATTTCGATTTTTTTAAATAAAATCTTGAGTTTAAGTCTTATAAATA